GTCAAGTCAGTGTYCATTGGGCTTCCTGTGGTCATCTTTCATTAAAGATTGTTRTAGTAGTATTTGTAGTTTTTATCGCTGGGATTTTGCTCCTCTCTAGACTCAGCTGCTGTACTTCTCTGTCTTGCCATTTGCAATTCCAGCCGTTTTCTTTTAGTTTGACGCATTTTCACGGACCGTTCCCCGCAATCCAAAGCAGTAAGAATCATTTTCAAAACTTCTTTCACTGCGGGTTCCTCAAGTTGATCCACATTCTCAGTCCAGTTTTGAACGACAAAGGCATGGTCCTCGCAGGTTTTGGTAGCCTGAAGAGCTTGACTTCTAATGTTTTCCTGAAATTCCTCCGCATTGTCCATTTGGCTTATTACATCACCATGTGTTATAACTGTAACCATGGTGATGGCTGCATAAATAAAAAGTACCACTTACCATTAGAAAACCGAACGGAGGAGGTAGAGCTTGGGAACTTTCAGGCATGTATTATTTGTTAGTTCATCTATCATATTCTATATAGTTATTTTTTTGTTATTTGTTTTTTTACTAAGTTTCGCTTGAATCAAAATCTCTCTGATCTCTGAATTTGAAAGTCTGTTTTGATGATCACCCCCTTCTCCAGACCACATTTCTAATGATTCTCAGGAAAAATAACATTATTGACACAAGGGTAACTAATTAATAAAGTCAACTAATTGAACTAATTGAAAGTCAGTTTTAATCACCACCCCTCTCCCCATCCCACTATTCTAATGACTAACTAAATCAAATTCACTTAATTTTTTTACGTGAAATGTTTTCTTTATTACCTTCATCTCTGAGTTTACTGAGTATAAAGTTCAGTTTGTCTTGATATTTTTCGGTAATAAGACGTATGTCATCTCCCTTGATGATCCATAACACAACATGTAGCTGTTTTTTCAGGGGAGGTTTGTTGAGCTTGTGGGCAGCGACCCCAACGGATTTCGTCTTTTGAGCTCCCTTTGCACCACGGTCAATTTCTTCTCCAGGCCTCACGCTTCCGTACAAAATGCGAAAGAATTCAGCTGAAAGAGAAAATTAAGATTAAAAACATAAATTATATTATAATTTAATAAGATTAAATAATTGAAACATTACATAAAATAAATTAAAATAAATTAAATTAAATAAACTAAATAATTTGTGCAAAGCTCTGAAAGAATACTCGTTTCACTAATTCAGACACAGATCGAGTGCGTTGCTGAATCCAGCGTGCGTATAGCCACAGGAATCCCGGTTGTTTCTTTGTTCACTAAACAACAATCCCTCGCTCCCCTTCCTACTTTCTTATCGCTATTCTATATTTCTTTTGCCTGATTATCTATTGTTTTTTTATGATTTGATGATATTACTTACTCTCTTGAAGTCTAGACTCGATATCAAAGAATCCTCGCGTGTCCAACATCGAAAAGCCTCCGAAAGTGATTTCGTCGAGTACTCGCGTTCCCTCGCCTCCAGCCGACTGAGAAATAGCCACTTCTTCTCCTGCACCACGTAGTATTTTAGAAACTGTATTGATAAGAGCTGATTTGCCGGATCCAGTGGGGCCAAAAACGCCAATACGAATATTAAAATCGCTCATCTCGTCTGGATCAGCATCCCTAAAGCTGGTCACACCGTGAATATCTCCAGCKTTATAGTTMWGAAGTTTGGATTTCATWTCTTCCATTGACATCGTGTTGGCATTTAGAAGACTCATGATAAAAAACTTATCCTTTGATTCACTGAAATGYACAGGCTTCTGAGAATTTYWATTTTCTCGAACGTGACTTCTCTTCCGGGAAATTTCCCTGATCGATTGCGTGACTCGTAGCGGAAAATTTCCCTGATCAATT